TCAGTAAATATCAGGATAATAGTGGTAATAAAGGTTTTAAGGGAAACTATGTTTAATGGGCTATATAGCAAATAAGGGTTTTAAGTAATAAAGGACGTTAAAGGGGTATATGAGGGATAATATGTTTAATAGGTTTAATACGTTTAGTACCTTTAAGAGTGCATATGTGATAAACCAATATATAATAAAGGCTTCGAGCCCTACGATAATGAGTAGTTGGTGCTTGTAATAAAATTTGACCTTGATACTTTCCTGCTTTCGCTACATTATAATACCTACGATCATAAACACACCACTCGCCAAATCTAACCGCCTCTTATCGACTAAGCCGTTCGTAGGTTACACGACATATCCGTTTGAGAAGCGACTGACTCGCCGTTTCGACCGTGTCAATAGGTTGACAAGTGGGTAAAATAATTGTATTACCTAGCAGTTCAAGATGATTGTGCTCAACAAATGATTAGAGCTATTTGGAAAGTTTTTTCATAGCGTATATAAATTTCTTAAATAATATATATTAATGTGTTTTAGCATCAAAATTTCTCAACAGACTACCTAAAAGATAATATTTGAGCATATACCATAATTACTTTATATTTCTAAGTTTTATTTGTTTATTGAGCATTAAAGTCCCTTATCAATAACTTTCGAATAGTCCGAATTTACATATTATAAATGGTCGTGCTGGTCCTGCGCGGCATCATGCACTGCGCAGCTACCCTAATAAAGCTAATTTGTTAATGTCAATGATTATGATACGAATATTGAATTAAATTAAATTACAACTTTAAATATTTATTGACATGTAATGTGCGGCCGCCCATGTTCTTAACACTTAATTTAAGCATTGATTGAGAGTTAAAGTCACTTTGGAAATTGTAATAATTGGTGAACAATAATATTAAAGAAGATAGATGCTTTGAATCAAGTTCATGAGTTCAAGAAAAATCATCAACGTTATGCAGCTGGCCAGAACTTATATAATTAAAGGAACCAAAAAAACATTTTTAAAGAGATAAGGCATTTGCATTTCAAATAAAAACTTATTTACTTAACATTAAAAAAAAAATTTTTTTAGAATGTCGAAAGCGAAAGCCTGTAACATTGTATAGATGTTGAAATGCATATAAAATATTCGGCTTATTTAATTAAAAAAGCTTAATAAAAAAAAGGTTATACGGTCTCAACTTTTTCGATAGCGAACTGACTGTAAAAAAAAGTTTGTTGTAAAAAATTGCTGTTTTATTAAGAATACATGACCGAAATATTGTGAAAAATACTGTGAAATTTCAAGTTTTGTGCCTGTTGAGTTCAGAGTAGAGATGGGTTTCATGCGTGCGCATGATTGCGGAAACATGCGCATTAATGCGCATTCGTGCGCATGATTCCGTTTCATGCGCATTTATCCCATCAAGATTTCTCTCCTCTCGATCGTTTTTTCTTTTTTTTGCCTTTTTTTTATCATGCGATATCATGCGCATGAAACATTTCGTGCGCATTAATGCGCATTCATGCGCATTCATGCGCATGTTATTATAAAATGCGCATTTTTCCCATCACTAGTTCAGAGTCGATAGTATACAGTATAATATGTACAATGTATATGTATTTTTTTTAAATCGAAGTTGCTTAATTTTTTAAGTAATCAATCAGGCTAGCGTCCTGGTGACTACACATTTCCGTGTGCTTTTTTGGATCTATATGATGTAATTTTTTTAGAAAAACTTTTATTTTTTCTATTTTATCTGTTTTGTTGTTTAGACAACCTAAATTGTCAGAAATATTTTGATTAATATTATTACCCGTACCAGTGCCTATGCCGTGCCTAGCTTCCATGCCCATGCCCTAATTAGTATGGTTCAGTTATTGGTTTCATTTGGCAGTGAATTGTTTTACATTGTAAATAAGATAATGAAACATTGAAAGGTTGATTGTATATTTCTATTTTTGAATGCTACCGTTCATTGACCAAAACACCCTTTCAAATACCTCACTTTGCCATTCAAATTACAAAATTCGAATTTCTTGTGTATTACAATATTACTGTATTATTATGCATCGTAAACGATTACAAATAGAAAAAGACTTTTTAGTTAATACTGTAAATGCGGAATTATTACACAATTTCTTTTTTTTAAACTTTATACACATATTATGTAATGAACGTTAGTAAATGAATTTATTACATACATTGTGTTAGCTACTCACAGGTAATTGCATACATGAAGCTTATTTATGCATACGCATTATCCTTCAGGGAAAGATGATTTTTGTCGACCAATAATTATTTCAGAATAAAAATATTTCATATATGGCTAGAAAGGATTGTTACTTTGGATTCAGAAATAATTAACCCCTCACATATCATAAAAATTAAATAAATCATATAAAAAACCTCAGTATTATTAGGCTACGTAATGCGTTACCCTTATTCATTAAAAATAGATTTTTTTACGTTAATAAATCACCTTTTAAATCACGTAATAAACTATTTAAATACATATTAAAGCTATAGATTTAATTGACGATTTATGATGAAATTATTACATGCATTTAATTAGGTCATTGAGATAAAATTTATTTACATTTGTCCTTATTTATCTAATGAGTATTAGGAGTCGAAGTTCATAATTCAAATTATTACTGGTTAGTTTTGGATTGTTGAAATATTTATTATGTATATATGCGTTTTCGTGTATCTAGTTTTTCCTAACCAGCTAGCCATATTCAGTCATTCATACTAAAACCCAAAGAAAAATTCATTTGTTAATACGTTGAATTGTTTGGTTCCAATGGTACAATACTTCTATTTTCTGGTATCTTTACCTATTTGCTTTGAATTAATTTGCAACATGTTCGGGTTCATAATAATTATTTTGTGAATATTTTTCATAGAGTTTAAATGATATAATACCTTCTTGTATAAGAGTTGTATATAAATTTATGAAAAAAAGGCATAGATTAGTAATTTATATTAATTTATATGGATGTATAAGTCTAGTAACTCACGCTACTAAATTTCTAATTCCGCCCTATCAGACTGCTTTAAAATTTTTATTAATAGGTTATTGTTCAAAAATAATCGTATGGTAATTGATGATTGCTAGCTGCAATAGAATTTTAGTTTAAAGATCAAAACTAACTATAACAATCATTCATTTAAATTATATAATTCCACTCGGAAGTCTAAAAGAATTAATTAGTGAATTATGGTATAGATAAATTTCGTGCGTAATAATACATATAAGAATAAACAAGTGCAAATATAGTATAATGTTAGGCATAAGTTAAACTTTCATGAATGATTCTAATAATAAACGTTCGTAGCCGCAACAAATTAGAATATGTGCACGTGCAAGGAAGAGAGAAAAGGAGAAAAATTATCGATTCATGCATGCAATAAGGGGTGCCCCAGATTTGGAGGTGCAACAAAAATTCAACAGCTCAACTTAAATCCGGAGTAGGAATAGGCCGGAATTGATCATTCCTCCAAAATTTTACTACTAAATAAAACTATTCAGATGATAATTTTGCTGTAGTATAGTTGACTAGTATTATTGCTTAACATCGGCCTAGTTCCGTATCTATTCTGATCCTATCTTCATATATCGATATGCGTATAGGGGGGGTTACAATCTGGTGTAACAGGACCCCTAGCTTATACGTATATTGATTATTTTCATGCCAAATTGGCTCCAAAATGCTTACTTTCGAAAAAATTTACTATGTAATAATGGTTATTGAATTTCCTTTTTTAGTACCCTCTAACTATATATGAATACATAGTTCGGGGTAACATCAATACACATTGATGCTACTAAATTACAGTATTCACCAAATTAATTAAATGCCTAAATAACGATATATAGATAAAAATTAATACGATTATTTGTTTTGTTCCTTCTACATACCTTCTAACTTTTTATAAATAAAAAATATAATACACTATAATTGGTAATGGATATAAATATATCCTTTTGTAATTATATCAGAATCAATCATGACGTATTTATTAAATTTTTAATTGATAATGAAATTATTGGCTTATTATTAGTCGATGACCTTAATGACCTGAATGGCTGTAATAGGTCATCGAGTCATAATGAACTTTGAAATTATTTTATGACCGTTTACTACAACAGATTATAATTTTTTTAAAAAAAATTTTTTTTTACTAGCATTTCATATGGTAAATATGGCCTATTATCAAATGTCATATGATTATATGAATAAAAAAAAAAAAAATTAGTACTTGCATCCGAATAGAAAAGTTATATTCACACCATATGATGACCAATAACCATATAATATATGCATTTATTTACATAAGATCATGAAGTAAAATTTGGGATTATTATGTTAATTCATTATTAGTTCCTTCTATTAACGTCATAAAGAATCAATAAACTGTCATATAAGGTTGGTATATAAGAGTGTACCGTTTATCACGTAATTTCTTATTAAAAGATTGGAAATTTGACTAGGCAATTGAAAAATGCCTGAATGAAGCTCGATCGATAAGTATCCATTGGGGCTTCATTAAAGTCTTCCATTGGCTCTATTCAAATTCAGTTCATTGCTAAAATGAATAAGAAATTTATTACTTGCTTGGATAAGAAATTTATTCTTGCTTGAATAAGAAATTTATTATTTGCTTGAATTACGTCTTTTTCTTACATGTAAAGAATAAACATGTGTAATGCAATAGTACAATCGAGAAGTCAATCACGAAGTCCAAAGTATACTGGCTATAAGTTTTGACAGCTATAAATACGGTGTGAAAATACGATGTGAATACTCGTCCCAAAAAAATAATTTCTTTGCTATTTATACTACATATTTTAATAATATCCTCCTTTCTATTCAATCTCCTTCGATTTCTCTTCAATCAACCTTCAATTTTCTACTTTTTAATAAATTTTACAACACCTTAATAAACAATGCATTCCAAAATTGCTTTCCTTTTGTTCCTTTTCCTTGTCATTCTCCCAATTGTCACTATGGCTAGTCCTATTCCTAGCGGTGAAGAAGGTAGAGGTGTGTATAATGCCTATTTTAAAAATAATTTTGTGTTAAACCTCTTAATTACTTTATCTTCAAATCGCTTTCTTTAAATCGTCTTCTTTAAAATTTATTAATGCGTATCTCATCAATTATTTTAATTAATTAAATTATTATTTTAACGATTACAAAAGAAAAAGGTGGAGGTAATTTTATTATATCACTTTAAACTATCTATCTTTAAATTATTTGTCTTTAAATTGTTCTTCTCAAAACATCTCTAAAATTTATTAATGGATATCCCATTAAATTATTATTTTGTCGATTAGATGGAGGTAAGAATAGTTTTTTAAGTTATAAATTAATTGGATTTTATGATAAAATTTCATTAGAAATCTACATATTTTGTTAAGGCTTATTGTTAATATTTTTTTTTTAATTTCTATCCATTTATGATTTATAATATACATTTTTTAGTTGTAGGTGAATATAAAGCTTAATTGTTATTACATTTATTGCTAGTAGTTAGTATATACTTATAGCTAATTCCTAACGGTAAACTCCTTATAATGCTTATTGATAGTTGGTAAATATAAAATTCTATAATGTTCATTTTACCAATAAGTACGTACAGTACATCAATTAACTTTAATGAAATTATTTATTCAATTGCTAGGTAAAGTTTATTTTTATTAATTTGGTAATAACGCTTACTTCACACTTTTAATAAATAATTTGACTATTTTGCAATTTTATTTTTAGCCGGTAAGTTTAATTGTCAGTTTAAATATGACATCTTTGATGAATTATTGTTATTAATTAATGTTGATATTATTATGATTAAATAACAGTCCCAAGTAAGTTTACTCTTTTAATATGAATTTTACATATAAATTTAGTAGCTGCTATTTATACCTTTCAATTAATTTCATCACTTATTACTAATTAACTTGAAATTTGAATTTTCAATCGATTTTATCAATTGAAAAGTTGGTAAATATAAAATTTTATAATGTTCACCTTAATAATTTAAATAAGTACGTAAAAATAATTAGCTCTAATGAAATTATTTGAATGAATTGCTAGCTAACGGTAAGTTGATTTTTATTAATAATTTATTAATATTACTTGCTCAATTTTATAAATAATTCTAACTTGCGATACACATTTTTAGGAGGTAAGTTTGATCATCAGTTTAATATGATATCTTTGATGAGTTATTATTAATTAACTTGGATATTATTATGATAAAACAGTCCTAAGTAAGTTTACCAATTTAATATGAACCTTACTTATAAATTTGCGTAGCTGCTATTTATACCTTTCTATTAATTTCATCACTTATAATAGATCGTAAATATAAAATATTCATAATTTTTAACAATTCAAATAAGTATATACTTATAACTAACTCCTAATGGTAAACTTCTAATATAAATTGCTAGATGACAGTAAGTTGATTTATTAATTAATACATATTGTTCGCTTTTAAACTATTTAATTAATTATAACTTGTAATACACACATTTTTAGACAGTAAGTTTAATCATCAGTTTAAATATGATATCTTTGAGTTATTATTAATTAACTTGAAATTTGAATTTTCAATTGATTCTATCAATTGAAAGTTGGTAAATATAAAATTTTATAATGTTCAACTTAATAATTTAAATAAGTACGTAAAAATAATTAGCTCTAATGAAATTATTTGAATGAATTGTTAGCTAACGGTAAGTTGGTTTTTATTAATAATTTATTAACATTACTCGCTCATTTTTAAAAACAATTCTAACTTACAATACACATTTTTAGGAGGTAAGTTTGATCATCAGTTTAATATGTTATCTTTGATGAGTTATTATTAATTAACTTGGATATTATTATGATAAAACAGTCCTGAGTAAGTTTACCAATTTAAAATGAACCTTACTTATAAATTTGCGTAGCTGCTATTTATACCTTTCTATTAATTTCATCACTTATAATTCTCATTAATAGATGGTAAATATAAAATTTTCATAATTTTTAACGATCCAAATAAGTATATACTTATAACTAACTCCTGACGGTAAACTTCTAATATAAATTGCTAGATAACAGTAAGTTGATTTATTAATTAATTAATACATGTTGTTCGCTTTTAAACTATTTAATTAATTATAACTTGCAATACACATTTTTAGTCAGTAAGTTTACTCTTTTAATATGAATTTTAAATATAAATTTCGTAGCTGCTATTTATACCTTTTCAATTAATTTCATCACTTATGACTAATTAACTTGAAATTTTATACTACAATTCAATTTATCACTTATAATGCTCATTGATAGTTGGTAAATATAAAAATTTATTATTATTTATTATTCATTTTTTAAAAATAATTATAACTTACGATACACATTTTTAGACGGTAAGTTTGATCATCAGTTTAATATGTTATCTTTGATGAGTTATTATTAACTTTGATTTTACTGTGATAAAATAACAGTTCCAATCCTAAGTAAGTTTACTCTTTTGATATGAATTTTATATATAAATTTCGTAGCTGTTATTTACAACTTTCAATCAATTACATCACTTATAATTCTCATTAATAGATGGTAAATATAAATTTTCATAATTTTTAACAATTAAAATGAGTATATACTTATAACTAACTCCTAATGTAAATCGCTAGGCAAAAGTAAGTTTGATAGTCGGTTTTAATATTGAAATGATTTCTTTGCCAAATTATTACTAATTAACTTGAAATTTAAATATTCAATTAATTTTATCACTTATAATACCCATTGAAGATGGTAAATCTAAAATTTTTTAATTTTCAACTTCATAATTTAAATAAGTACGTAAAAATACTTATCCCTAATGAAATTATTTGATAAATTGTAGCTGACAGTAAGTAGATTTATTAATTCATTAAAACATGATATCTTTGAGTTATTACTAACTTGTTTAATATGAACTTTCAAATATAAATTCGCGTAATTGCTGTTATATATTCAATTAATTTTATTACTTGTAATGCTAACAAAATTTGACAAATTTGTAGAAAATGGTAAAGTCTATTTTTAATAATTTATTAATTCATGTGTCGTAATTGATGTTAATACCGCCTGAAGTTGCAATTCGAGTCGCATTGGCTCGCAATTTTAACAAGGGTAACTTAAGGCAAGTTGTGAATTCAAATAGGTATTAACCTCAGGCACGACAAATTAAACTTAACAGATTGGATAGTTAAAATTTAAAAATTACTCTATTTCATTATTAATTAAATTATTAATTAATTTATTAATAATTAATTTGGTATTAAAACTTCTCTAATTAATTTTTTATTTAATTAATTTCTTGAAATCATGCATTTATTACATTATTAGTCAGTGAGTATGAAGTACAATTGACGATTTCGTTTATGATTATGAAGCCTTATTTACCATGAATTTTACTTTTCTCATTAGATCTTTAAGCTCGACAACATAGACTTTGGATAATCTTTAATACGACCTAATTGGTTACTCTAGGTATTTTTATTATAACTTACTGCATATTAATTCAAGTTTTATAACTAATTAACTTTTCTATGTATATTCTAATAAGAATTTTTTGTAGAATTATCCAAAAAGTGATTCTAAACCGTTCAAACCGAAATATATTTTGTTTTATTATAATAAGCATGTCTTAATCGTTCAACATTATCATGTTTTAATTCAATAATTCTTTTTTAATCAAAATGTTTAATTAAAATTACTAGTAATAGTTGCTTTTATATTCTATAATTTACTTTTAGTCAAATGATCAATTAAAATTATTAGTAATAGTCTTTCCCAATATTGAAAAAATTTTTAGTCAAATTTTTTTAATTAAAAATTACTAGTAATAGTTGCTTTCTATAATAAATTATGATCCTTACATTTTGAAGTTATTTTTTATTATTAAAATTATTAACTGTTTTATGATGAAAATAAATAGTTAGTTTCATGGCTTAACAATAAAATATAATCTTATTTTTTTTTATTAAACCAAAATACTTTACATTAATATTGTAAATTTATATACCAATAATTTTTCTAGTAATAAAAAATAAGATCGTAAAGGTTAAAATTTTTATGCCATGTACTGTAAATATCATAAAATATTTGAAATCAGTTAAAAAATTTGAATTACTTTAATAGTTTTTTTTTTAATTAAAAAAAAAGTCTTAAGAAATTAAAACGATATATACTATCATCACTAAGTACGTATAAGGGAAAATTCAACAAATTATTCAAGTTCTTTTCTTGACAAATTGTGCTCTATGAAGTAAAAAAAATTATATTTGAAGTAAAATATGCAGTAATGCGATTAATTATTGT